CTCTATAAAATCATAACTTTAATAAACAAAAACATTATATTCTTGCAACACTCAACAGAAAAACAACTATTATACTATTATTTAAAACTGAAATAAATAAATACATAAATATAAACAAAAGTACGTTGCGAACTCTCCGAGTCCCAGTCGACGTGCGGTTCGATAGTCGATTCGCATCAAGGCCACACTCGCATTTCGCATCGCCCATCGGGCCATCTCGCATCTTGCACACCGAACCGGTGGCGGTATGTATTCTCAAGTATTATTATTGTGCGTTATGCGGATGCGAGTAACGAAATTTAAAATGCAGTAACGAATTCGTATTTCGTATCTGACCGACTACCCGTTACTGAGTAACGAATACATACGGTTTGCCACAGCTCTATTTAGCACAGTACATATGTTTCGTAAAGTACAAATTTTTCCATCTTCAAGTGAATTCAATTAATAAAAATTACATTGACGAATACAAATAGTTTACATTTTTTTTTTAAATAAAAGAACGCCTTCTTTCTATTTCACATCGTTTGAAGGTGTTCGAATAGTGACTACTACAGGGGGTGGAATAAATTTAAATGTATTCTTCTCATCAAATATCGATATAGCTTTAATGTTTTTTTCATTACCTTTGAACAAAATACAATGAAAGTTTCAAGTGGCTAATATACTTTGACTTTTTTTCCTTTCTTCGGAATAATTACCTATTATTTAAATTAAATTCATTAAAGTTATAATATACAATATCAAAAGCCATCAAGAATATTACCCTTTGTTTCCCATAGTTACCAGTGTCAGTTTGCTTACTAGAAATTTTACAGTTTATTCACATTTGCACTTTTATATTGGATTTATTTTATTAATTAATATTTTTTTAGTTTTGACTTAGTTTAAGCAATACTGAAAAACTGACTCTGTAGTATTATAAAATTGCATCAATATCAAAAATTGGTTCAATCTCTTTAATTTTAAGCTGTTGATGTCACCTTTATTTTGAAATTCAATTGATCAGAACCTTGGAAATACCCCATTATAATTTAATGAATCTCGGTATAGGATTTATAGGGAATTAATAATGTAATAAAACTTACCAAGGGGTATCAGCCTTGCCCAAGAAATTGTGAATGAGTAGTGTCTGACAGTTAAGTTGTTCAAAATTTCAACATCTTCATCGAGATGGTGATAAGCATCAGCTGTTTCATCACCGTTGGTTCCATCTATTACAACTCCGGGATTTTCGTGTACCCATCGGTCCCAAATGTTCTCACCCTTACCATCCACATTCCAAGCACCTATAACATATTTAAAATTTGACAAAAGGTAACAGTACAAAATTCATGTTTTATTTGTAAAAAGTAATATGTATTATTAAAACAATACTACACTACTAGTATAATAAAAAATATCTGCTGCACCAATATTACTTATAATCAATTAATATTTTACATTAAAAACAAAGATGAATGAAATATTTCACAAGCTTAGGTACAAATAATTATTCAATAAATATTGTATTGCCTTCATGTTCATATGCTCCAGATGATACTCCAAAAGAGAAATATTGTGGAAATATACCATTGCATTGTGGTAGTTCAGGTTGATGAGGTATTGGGTGATGGGGTATTGGATGATGTGGATGTGGATAGTGATGTGGAGGTACAGCACAACTAAAAATTAATAAAAAATAATAATTAAATATGAATATAAGTACATAAGTTGTACTAAAAAAATAATAGTTATATTATAGGTAAAATTAAAGAAATATATGAAAAAGATTCGTTAATTCTTTTTTCGTTAGTTTTTTTCTGTTTAAGTCTCTTATATTGAAATGTTGACTATAGATTAAAGTTAAGTCGGCATTCATCTGACTCAAAATTTCTAAATAATTGTGAAACTAATTTAGAACCCTTCAAACATTTTAAAAAATACTTTTACCTTGTTTGAATGAAAACTAATACCACGAAAACGTGTAAAACAAACCACATTTTCGATTGGATAAACTAACTAATCATTTAATGTAAGTTTCAACATTTAAACAATTTTTTTATTTATTATTTTAAGAAAAAATCATTTAGCACGAACTTATTGTAATTTAACCTGTCTAAAATTATTATTATTATTATTCAATATGATAACAAAATGAGGTACTTTTAAATTTAGATAATTTTTATAAAATATATTTCGTCCTAGCAGTACATTGTGAAATATCCCCCTGTCCCTGTCCTTGCAGATATTTTTTTAAAGAATCTGCCAGTTTTAGGGATTTTCCTTCTTCTGTAGTTTGTGTTTCCGATATTGATAACCAGAAAATCGTTTCGTTTTTCTGTCCTAAAATTCAAAATCTATAAGTTTGAATAGGTATTTCAAATTTAAATTTTAGAATTTTTTCATTGTACAGGGTGGGGCAATATTTTCATAAAATAAAAGTTAAAAGTATTTGTTTCTAACATGCGAATATAATAAACACACATACATAAATATCTATTATTCCTGTATTCCTCAGTCAAAATAAAAATTACATAGGTTAAAATAAGAATTAATATACCTACCTACACTAAATTGATTATTAGTTTGTTTGAAATTAAATTAAGTTTCAATTTTCAATAATATTTATTATGCCAAAAATCAAAAATAAAAAATCTTAAGAATGGTTAGTTATTATATTAAATTTCACTGAATAATAACAAAAATGAAAATAGAATATAAATAAAATTGCTAATAATACTAATTAATTACAATTACTTACAACTTACAATTACTTACCATCTTTCATAGGCACAGTTTTTACTTTTCACGATCGCATTACATAAGATACAATACAAATACAATATCAGTTATCAATTATCAATCAAATCAAAATCAGAAATAGAAATCAAATCAGTTAAGTAAATAAATAATATTTATGTTATTGAGATGAAGAAAACAATAGTAATGCAGATGCATTTTGATGAACCTTTTCTTTTATATTATTTTTAATGTAGGTAGGGGTAGCCGACAAAGTAAACATTACCATTTTGAAAAGATAAAAAATAATAATTTTCTCATATTTTGTCCACCGCACCATTTGATGCGGCCGCCTAACGAACGCTATCAAAGCGTCGGCACTTGGCAGTCACCTGTTTTTGACTTTGATCATTACTACCGACTACCGCCGGCCGGTCGTTTGGGGTTTGTGGATAAGTGAAGTGGGTAATTAAATCGTCATATCTTGCCGCGGCCGGCTGCCGCCCCTTGTTTGTTAAGGTCCACGTGCCACATTTTAAAACAGTAGACATTTTTATTACAATAAAGCTACTGCCTTACTTTTTTGCCAGTCTAGTCGGTGCGCGCTTTCGGCAAGAAGGGACCATTGCTGTGGCGGCCTACGGCCGCCCTAAATTTTGCCGCCTGTGTGCATTGCACCCATGGACGGCACGCCCCTGCTCTTCGTAGACTAGGCCACGAGCCGTCTCTGGTTTACATGTAAAGAACGTAAAACAGACGTCTTTTCTCATTTAGTTAAAACTTGTCTACTATTAATAATAAGGAAGTATTATAATGATAGTATGAGGGCTGCGGCAATGTCTAAAAGACAAACAAAAAGATTTGAAATTACTGCATTTAATTTTTTCTGTTTCAGTTGATATGATTGGTTATTTTTGTCTTATTTCCTAAGATTCAAGAAGAATTTGTTGTTTTGTTTTTTGTTTATTTTGAAAATTTATTTACTTTCATATATTTTTTATTTATTTTTTTGGGAATTTTTAGTAAATATAATTATATAATAGTTTGTATGATATTTATATTATCCCTCATAATTTTTTGCCATAAAATTTTACATTTTTGTTTGCATTTCATAATTTTTACAAACAACTTATAAAAAAGCAAAATTTTAATTATAATTAAGAGGATAATTTACTTAAGCAATTATCTTTTTCAATACGAAATAGAGCCATAAATATTTCTATAGTTTAATTTTACTTTTTAGTGAATGAAAAATATGTTCCTTCAGGTAAAAGTGAAATGTCCGTTTTTCTGGAGCCAGTATTCCGAAATTTGATTTAATTAGTTTGTCAATTTTTGAAATCTTAATAAAAACAAAATTTTGCGATTTATTGCCATCAAAATTTGTTTAAATTTTGATAAAGTTGCTCCAGAGGAACCTATTTTAGCTACACGTACATGTTTTTTATGTCACTAAAAATTAAAAAGTTACTACCAAAATTTTTGATGGCTATATTTCGTATTTGTTAGAAAATAATAGCCAAAGTAAATTCTCCAAAACCCACCAAATTCCAAATTAAATATAATATTAAGGGTAACTGCATTACCAACAGAGTAAGATTAGTTCTACAACTCTCCCCCACATCCCGCTGCCAGCAAACATGTTACCAAATTTTTAGAAAGACCTGGCAACTCTTAATAATCCTTCCTCCATGGATTAAACTCAGAAGAAGTAGTTTGTATCGTTAAATTTCTATTTAAAAGCTCTACAAACTGGTTTTTACTAATTCATGCTGTGTTGTCTATAGGGCAAGATAATAGGATTTTCAGATTGAATATTTCAAAAAAATGTTTTTGTTAAATACTTTGACTATCGTTCAAAATAGGAAGAAGTGGTTGGCAGTGTTGAATTTCTCTTTAAAATATCTCTACAAACCTAACAGTAATTTTTCTCAAATACTTATTATATATCAGCACTATTTATATTTCAAACATTTATACTTTTACATTACTTTATTTTGACAATTTATCTTTAGACATCGATCTCTTGCTATAAACCAAACTCAAATGGCAAAATAATCTTATTTGTATAGAATGATGGAGGTTCTTGAATGTTCGCGCACCCACCAGAATCAGCAAACGACGAATTACAATGAAGGCCCTGGCGGCTATTATTGCGAGAACACATAAATCTAATTGTTACTTTTCTTTATGCAAACCTCTATAGAAAATGTTAAATTCATTCTCCTTATTTATTTAGGGTTGTAGTTCATCTTAAGCGGATAAAAAATTAAAAAAATTCTTCAACTATTTATTTATATCAATTACAATTTATTGGTTTAATATATAACATGTTCCCCGAAATATTCATGATGATGGCGTGGAGGACATGGGTTATCAATGCATCCATATTTACAGACATGTTGGAAGTATTCAACAGATTTTCTAGCAGTTCTTGGTTTTGTAGGACAATCGAATTCCACGTCATATAATCCTAACCTAAACCTGTAACAAAATAAACAAAAATGAGTACTTACCTAAATAACGAGTGATCTAATTTTTTTTTTTATAAAGTAATCAAGGCGAGTTTCGTCCGTAATAATTAGGAACACATCTGGATTAAATACAAAACTGTCATTTAAATAAGAAGAAGAATTGTATGCTTTGATATACGTAGTTTTTAACGATTTAAAACTAACAGTTCGTTTAGAACTTTTACTCTTTAAATCGTTCTCGAATTTCACTCCCTGATTTTTATACATAAAATTATTAGTTTGAACTACCAGTTTTTTATTGTCACTTTTTATCCAAAGACGACCGAAAATAAAAAGGTTTTGGCACGTACGTATGTAATGAGCTACTTATAACTCTTGTTACGTAATTACGTAGTAAATTTACTATTAATAGAGAGATAAAGCAACACTAAATACTTGTGCGTATCTCTCTGACGTAACCGTGGAAATTGACGATACGTTAAACGAGCAATCTGGAAGAAAACAATAGTTAAAGCAAAAGCACTGACGTAAACGTATCTACAACTTTAAAACCTTAGGTACTTTTTGAGAAAAGTAGATAGTTAAAGTTATATTGAGTAAATTATAAATTTAAGGGCTTTAAATGATGCTGTATATTACAAATTCCACATAATAAAGAAAATTTGGAAAATAATGATGTTTTATGTGGGAGATTCAATTTTAATAATCGACTAACAAATAATCGAGTATCAGTGTCCGGTAATTTTTACTAATTCATTTTTTTCAACGAACTTTCCAGGAATAAATGTGATGTGTATATTATATATGAAACTCGTTTCGTATTATGGCTCAAAATTTAAAAAATCAGAACAATATGTTACAATCTGTCATTAGTTTTATTAAATCGGGTTGCGATCGGATGCTCCCGAATCATTTGCTCGGCTCGATACGAATGCGTATTAGGCTTACGTAAGAATACGTACGTTTATGTAAGGCGTAAATAGATACGTGAGAAAAATAGCTATTGCGCATGCGTAGCTGTCATTAGATACGTTTACGGCATTGCTTTAACTCTCTAATAATACTTACGTGTGACCGTATGCTCGTATGAATCCGTCGATAAAGGTGCCGTATGTGTATCCGTACACTCTGGCATCGTCATTGGTCTGTGCAGCTCTGATGTGAATTAATATTTTCTAAAAAAAAAATATAAATTATTTTAAAAAGTAATAATGATTATAATAAAGTGTTTATTTTTTAGAGTAATATAACCTGTGATAATAGTGCGTTTTATTTCCTCCGAAACTTGTACGTGCGGTGTGCAGGGATCGCTTATTATCCTTCCATTCACTGAATGTAAGCATATACATACTTATTGTAAAGGATATGTAGCAGTCAATGTCATAAAGACTCGAGTGCGTCTGCCAAAACTGTTAGCAACTTAAAATCAAATGTACAAGCATACGAAAAAATAATTAATAATTTGAAATAAAAAAAATATGATACTGTTCTACAGTTCCAAAAAAAAATTATATTTCTGCTCATGAATATCGAGTTAGGGCTTGTAAAGCCGTTTTTAAAGGCTTCAGTGTAAGATTAACTCTATTTTGGCTACTTACAACCTTGGGATGAGATAGAAAAAACTGAAAGGAGGAATATTTGATTGTCCTCAGATAAAACAGAATTTTAAAAATATAAAATTCACCGCATCTGTGAACTAATACTGGCTGTTGAAATACAAGCCTAAAAGTTAAATACCTTCACAACCAATTAGATTAGTTATCAGAAAAACTAGGTGATTATATTTAGTGAAGAAGAAGACAAAACATTTCATCATAAAGTTAAAATCAAGGAAGATGGTATGGCCACATTTTTAATTATCAAACAGACATTGAAAATAGGAATTAAAATGGGTAAATTTTTTGGAGATTTTATTTACATAGATTTTGTAAGTTCATATAAAACTATAATTAAAAAAACTTACCTTGATATATTCGATTCTATCATCGTCTTCCAAAGTACGGTTGCCTGTTACGTATCCATTCCCTAAAATGAAGATGGAAGGATTGCAGTACTGGTTCTTTATCCAAACAATAAGTTTTCTAATTCCATATGTGTCGTCCTAAAAAAACGCAGTTATTTTTTGAAATTATTATCCAATACGTATGCATCAAATTTTTTTTTTATAGACAATTAATAATCTGGAAGAATTGAGAAATCGCATACTAAAAAACATAAAGAGATCAACAACAAACTGCAAATATTGTATGTTTTTATTAGATTATGGAGAAGAGTTGGTTTGATTAGTAGTAAATGTCATTCTGTAAAACTGTCTAAACTACCAACACAAAATATTTAAATCACACAGCCAACTATAATTTTTCTAGTTGTCTCGTTATAATAAATACTGAAAAGTTATCTATTAATGAATATCAAACAAAAATAATAAATTAAACCTAAGTGTACAATCATAATACTTACTCCTTCAATTCGTTGAATTATTTCAGCACCAGTATCACTATCATATGATGGAGACACACAGCTATCATCTTCAATAGCCCTCACGGTAAAACCAAAGTAGTATAAAAGTCCAAAGAAATCATGAGTGTCCTTGATCCACTCGATTTCTTTCCTAGTAAATACGGGTAGTCTAGATTCGCATAGGCCTTGTAATTCTGACATTTCCCCGATTCTGTCAATCATAACTTGAGGATAGTCGCCGATATAGATGGGATGGGCAAACCAGCCTATCTGAAAAAATTACTATGTTAATTTAAAATTTCAATTTCCAGAGTAAACTTACTTCGAACTGCATTCTTCTTTCTGCTGCTTCAATATCGGTTTGACAGTCTGTAGCAGGTTCATGCCAACGTCCAAGCAATTCAATTGATATTTTCCCTGAGAATTAATGGTAAATCTAGATTTTTTTGTTATAGAACAATACTACTTAATTCAATAATTTATTAGTAATTTTAATATTATTGAAAACACGCTTTACTTACCTTTCTGAGTCTGTCTATAGCTGTCATCATACAAGTGATACACGCTAGCGTGGGCTTTTAGAATATTATGCCCACAGATGTACTCATTAACCCCTGGATTATTACTGATACCTGGTGGGAAAGTTCCTACTCCATATCCTTCATGACATTGAGTTGTTGGATCATTAAATGTAATCCAATATTTTACGTTGCTTCCAAAACATTCAAATACGATCTTAGCGTATTCGGTATACCAAGAAACAAAGTTATCACTTAGAAAACCTCCTTGGTCTTCGAGAGCTTGAGGAAGGTCTCCGTTGTAGAGTGTCACTATGGGTTCAATACGATTTTCTTTAAGTAGGTAAAGAAGTCTTTGGTAGTGACGCACGGCAGCTTTGTTAACCTCTCCACATCCTGAAATTTATACAAAGCTTAAATAAGATTGAGCCGTGATGACCTTTCAAATAATAAGCAGTTTATACTCAAAATAATGTAAGTGGAACTCATTAATAAATGTCCCATAATTTTGAGTTTTTCTATAACATATCATTGGTTACAATTAGATATAGAAAACACTAAATTTTACATATTGCACGCCCATTAATCTCTTTTTATAAGAGGAATTTCATTATGGAAAATGAGGCAGTGGATCTAAACATCACTAAGTGTCATTCGATATCCTTTACTAGAAAGATCAACAAGATTGATTATAAATATAATATCAATAAAATAGCAATACCCCATTATAATTTAATGAATCTCCGTATTGGAATTATAGGGAATTAATAGTATAACAGACTCACCAAGGGGTATCAGCCTAGCCCAAGATAATGTGAATGAGTAGTGTCTCACAGTTAAGTTGTTCAAAATTTCAACATCTTCATCGAGATGGTGATAAGCATCAGCAGTTTCGTCACCGTTGGTTCCATCCATTATAACTCCTGGATTTTGGTGTACCCATCGGTCCCAAATATTCTCGCCCTTACCATCTATATTCCATGCGCCTAAAAAATAATTAAAATTTGACAAAAGGTAACAGTACAAAATTCATAATTTTATTTATAAAAAGTAATATGTAATATTAAAACAATACTACACTACTAGTATAATAAAAAATATCTGCTGCACTAATATAACTTATAATTAAAGATACGCAATTTTCGTTTTTACGAAATAGACTCGATAGATGCGAAATATACGTAATTTATGCAATAAATACGAAATATTTTGTGTATTTAATATTTTTTTGAATAAATTGTAATTGTATATTTTCTGATTCCACTTGCTCACAAGCCATCATGAACCCCTTGAAAGCTTACGACATCGACTACTCTCAAGTGCAAGGATTAGTATCAGACCTTGCCCGTTACACGACTGCATATTTTAGCATGCTAAAAATACTGATTGGTGACCATATTTTATACTACCAATGTTGGGCACAAAAAGTGAATCTTGTACGTGATGTCTTTATAAAAGAGTTTAAAGAACTGAATACAATTGTAGCTTTTGTGCACTCAAGAAAAATGAAAAGTGCTTATTTGAACTACTTGCAAGAAAACGCTTCGCGACTAATTCCGAAACTTTATCCCACGCCAGTTGTAACTAGCTGGAATTCTTGGCACAAATCTGCAATGTATTTGAGCGAATATGTGGAGCACATTATTGCTTTTTATGAATGACTATACATGAGTACTAGTTACCGGACGGAATATTTTAAGAATGACATTTTGGCTAGCGAAATACGAGTTCAGTTAACATTCGTATTCGAGTTCTGTCCAAAAATAATGAAAATAATTGCCAACTTGAAAGGATCAAAATATCCACTCGCGAACATTTTATGAAGCAAATTAGAAGATTTAAAGTATTAAAAGTTTTTAAAGAAAAAACTAAAAGCATTTTGTTAAACGAAAATGGTGAATTCCACAGTATTATGCTGAAGACAGCAGCACAGAAGAGCTTGGATAAATTGTCTTCCAACCCAACAAACGATTCCTACTTGCACATTGGCAAATTATTTTGCCATCAGCAGCAACAGCCGTGACCACATCATCTCTGGACACTAACTCAACACTGGAGAACTTGTCCAGAATACCATTTTTCAGGGATATACCACAGGATAAACTCTTAATTGGATATACTCATTTCCATAGACAACTCTTCAATGTGATGCAGCAAGAAACTCATGCAGATTTGACTTGCATCAAAATGTTGCTACCTGAGGTTCGCGAATGCAGCTATACAATGTCTTTACATTCCAGTTGACAGTGTAGATACTGAAAGATATTTCGGTATCTATAATGTCGTCATAAATGACCGAAGACAAAGGCTTAAGCAAGAAAATATAGAGACAACCACGATATTAGCTTTTAACTAACTATTTTGTAATAAATATTTTGTTATTTTAATGATTATGTTAGTAAATACGAGTTTTGAAATATTTTTCACTTTTTTATGCGAATAAATGTCAAATTTCGGTTTTTTTAGTCGCGAAATATACGTAATCCTACTTATAATTAATTGATATTTTACATTAAAGACGAAGATGGATAAAATATTTTATAAGCTTGGGTATAAATAATTATTTAACAAATATTGTATTACTTACCTTCATGTTCATATGCTCCAGATGCTACTCCAAAAGAGAAATGTTGTGGAAATATACCATTGCATTGTGGTAGTTCAGGTTGATGAGGTATTGGGTGATGAGGTAGTGGATGATGGGGTAGTGGATGATGTGGATGTGGATAGTGATGTGGAGGTACAGCACAACTAAAAATTAATAAAAATTAATAATTAAATACGAATATAAGTTGTACTACTAAAATAATACTTATATCACAAGTAAAAATAAAGAAATATATTAAAAAGATTCGTTAATTATTTTTTCGTTAGTGTTTTTTTCTGTTTAAATTTCTTGTATTGAAATTTTGACTATAGATTACAGTTAAATCGACATTTATCTTACTCACATTTTTCATATTTCTAAATAATTGTGAAAATAATTTAGAACCCTTCAAATATTTAAAAAAATACTTTTACCTTGTTTGTATGAAAACTAATACCACGAAAACGTGTGAAACAAACCACATTTTCGATTGGATAAACTGACTAATATCATTCAATGTGAGTTTCAACATTTAAACAATTTTTTTAATCATTGTTTTAAGAAAATAATCATTTAGCACGAACTTATAGTAATTTAACCACTCTAAAAATATAATTATTAAACATGATAAAAAAATATGAGGTACTTTTACATTTAGATACATTGTCACGAAATATAACTATTTTTCTTATCAAAACAGTACTTTGTACCAGGAGTAACAGGCGTATATTTTTGGTTAGGCTCAGGAAATTGGCATAACCGAGCAGCTGCAGATCCAGAATTTTTTTACTTAGTTCCTAGTCATGTGTTGTTTTCTCTACCAGGGTTATTAAACTCAAGAGGGGAATAATTATGATTCCCTTGGATCTACTGGTGCAATAGCCCAGGAGCATAACATCAAAAGAGCCGGCGCTGGGAAACAGTAACAAAGCCTACACAGAACACGAGGCGAAATAACCTTAGCAGTTGAAGCCGATGACACCACAAAAAAAATACCTACGTTTGTCCTTCATACGTTGAAATTAAAAAATAAAATATTAAAAACTAGTAAGCCATAAAGTATAGAGAGGCTGTTTAAACCAAAATATGAGGATTGGACCATTTAAAACTTATTTAAGCGAAAGTTAACAAGTTTTTCAATTAATTTACCCAGAGTTCGTATGTCCTTTGTCAAAGTAGGTTAGCATGTCTAATGTCATAAAAATGAATACTATTTTAAGAAATGAAGGAGCTCTTTTGTAAGATTTTAATAAGACTGATATTCATATATAGAGACGGAACAGTCATAATTTTATGTGTAAGGAATAAGTATTTACAAGAGTCCCTGTACCCGACATTTGACAACATTATTATTACTCTTTTTTGTTGAACGAAAATAGCTTTAGATTCAACCGAGTTTCCACATAACAAGATTCCATATAATATATGAGAATAAAAAAGATAACTAGTTAGGTTTTTTCAATTGACGAAGTAAGAATGAGGAGCTAGATAACTTTTTTCAGTTGTCCAATATGAATGAACCAGTTTAATTTATTCTCTATAGTAAAACATAACAACTTAGGCTGTAAACGTTCATCTACAATAAAAAAATTAAAACCAGTTTCTACAGTTTTATTCAAAAATTTATTTAGATCAATAAATACAATATAATTTTATATATGTTCACCGAAATATTCATGATGATGGCGTGGAGGACATGGGTCATCTATGCAGCCATATTTGCAAACATGTTGAAAGTATTCAACAGATTTTCTAGCAGTTCTTGGTTTTGTAGGACAATCGAATTCCACGTCATATAATCCCATCTTATACCTGTAACAAAATAAACCAACTACCTAAGTAACAAGTGATTCGCAAAAAATTTAACACCTTCAAATTAAACCCAAAGTGTCTCATTAAATCAGAACAAGAGTTATACGTTATTAGACAAATATACGTGGTTTATTCCATGGCCTAGTTTGTAAACAATTTTTTGTAGATCATCCCATATTTGTTAACGGTTTAAAAGTAAAAATTTATTTAAAAATTTACAGAGATTCTTGAATTTTAAGATATTATATCTCCCCAATTTTGATTTATCAAATGATTGGTTGGAACTTCAATTTTCTGCATTTCTTATCTGAAGACGATCGGAAATCGATTGAAACGTGCATGTGTAATGGGCTATTTACAACTCTTGTTACGTAATACACTATTAATTAATAATACTTACGTGTAACCGTAATGTCGCATAAATCCGTCAATATAGTTAGCGTATGTGTATCCATAAATTCTGGCATCGTCAATTGTCTGTGCAGCTCTGATATGGATCAATATTTTCTATAAAAATATTAGTAGGTTATCACTAATAGGTAATAGTAAAAAAACATCTGTTTACAATATAAATAGAAAATTTCTATAAATAAAGTTAAAATGCACTTGTTTCGGTTTAACATACTAAAAATATTTAAAAAGTGACTTATTTTTATTAAAGGCTATCAAAGTAGCATGTGATAATGATAGATACATTCTCCGGTAGTGCATGGATGGTTCTCCAGTTTCACAGTAGATGCTTTCAATAGGGGAAGTTCGAAAGGCCCCCAGAGCAATTCGAAGAGCAGTATTGTGTACAGTTTCAAAGTGGTTTTGCTGGATGATCCATATGCAACAGACCCGTAGTCAATCTTTGATCTTATTAAAGTTTTATAAATGGTTAGTAAGGTATGATAGTCTGAGCCACAGTTTCTGTTTGCCAGAGTCTTCATTATGTTTAGTCTCTTATGACAGCAAAAGGTTAAATGTTCTATGTGTTCTTCCAGGATAGCTTTTGGTCGAACCACATTCCAAAGAACTTTACTGATGGTTTGAAAGATATATTTTGGTCAAATAACTGTAAAACTGGAAAGATAACAGAAGTTTTCTTGGAGAATACAATTCTAATAGTTTTTGTCACGGAAAAAATAAATCCTGTATTAATTTCATCAGAAAGTTTTGCATAAAAATTGACATATCCACATTTTTTTCTTTATAGATTACCAGGTCATCAGCATATAAGCGTGCTTTTAAAGGTGCTGTTAAGCTTTTTATTATGTCATTTATAGTGACCAGAAACAGTGTAGGACTAATTATTGACCCTTGTGGAGTTCCATGGTCTTCGTTTTGATTTTCCGAAAATGAATTATTTACTCTTACACGAAATGATCTATCCTTCAAAACATTTTTGATAAAAGCAAGACAGTTGCCACAAATATTCCACGAGTTAAGTTTTCTTTTCTAACAGGTGTTAAAGGCTCTTTTTATGTAAAAAATATTGCTATGCTAGTTTGTTTTGTTGCTAGAGATTCGTGAATTTCGCTATTATCGATCCCAGATCGGTTTTGTCTAAAACTGTTTTGCTCGGAGATTAAGTGGCTAGAATTTTCCAAAGTCCACATGAGTCTGTAGTTGATTATTTTTTCTAGTAGCTTACTTATGGAGCACGTTAAACTTATGGGTCTGTAAGATTCAGGTTCTAAATGATTTTTCTGATTTTTTAGAAGAAGAAGGACAATAGCTTTAGACCATAGACATGGAAAGAGGTGTTGGTGCCATATTAAATTAAATAGATAGAGAAGATATGTTCTTGCAGAATGGGGAAGATGTTTTAAAAGTATTACTGGAATATCGTCTGGTCCGGGGCTGGTATTTTTAAGATCTAGGAGAGAATTACTTAATTCAGATATAGTAAAAGGGATGTTTAAACGAACATCATCATCATTATTATTCTGGTCTAAAAAGAGGTCTATGTTTTCGGTGACTAATTTGTTATTGAGAAATTTTAAATTGTAGTTATCATTTGATGACATTTTTTTATAATTTGTGGCTAAGACGTTTGCTATCTCTGTTAGATAAGTTATTACCCTATCATTAACTTTCAAACTAGAAATTTTTGGAGCGTATTTTAGGCCTGAGATTTTTCTGATTCTGTTCCAAACTTCAGTGATAAGAGTTGAGCTGTTTATTTCTGAGACATATTGAGTCCAGAATGTCCTTTTTGCTTTATTGATCGTAAGGTGTGCTGTTGATTTAAGTCTTTTGAATTCTTATTTTCCAGTGTTTTATGTTTTTTATACTTATTTAAGACGGTTTTGCTTTATTGGATTACTTTCTCGCAGTTTGTATTCCACCAAGGTACAGGAACATAGTTCTTCACAATTTTAGGTTTTCCAATAAATAAATCAGCTGCTTCCAAAATAATTTTATTGAAGTTCGACAGAGATTCGTCGATATTGTTGCTTATTATGCAGCTTTGTATTTTATTATCTATGTAACTCTCAAAGCTAGACCAATTCGCCGAATTAAGTTTCCATTTTGACAAAAATGTATCGACCGGGTGGTTAGAATTATTTTTAATTAAAATAGGGCGATGGTCGCTACCATAAGTATATTGAAGAACTTTTTAGAACAACCGCGGTGTTAAGGCAGGATCACAAAAACTTAGGTCACTTGCTGATGATTCTCCAGTGTTTATGTTAAACCTAGTTGGTGATCCATCATTAAGAAAATTCAATTGACAATGTGAGATGAGTTTTTATATTGTTTTACCTCTGACATCAGTAGACGAGGAGCCTCAGACTATATTGTGCGCGTTAAAATCTCCTATAATTACGTGGGGTCCATAAGGACTTCAAGTCATTAAACGTTGCTGAAGAACGTGAGGGAAGGTAAATATTACAAATATAGTATGGAGTAGATGCAGAGATTTCGACAACAATGGCTTCAACATTGCTGGTAACAGGAAATACCTTTTCTTCCAGCTACGCCTCCGGAAGAAAAATTTGTATTGGTTGTTCTGTCTTTTCGAAAACAATGATAGCGCTTTGAATTATAATTTTTCTGTGGATTTAGATTGGTTTCTTGGATGAAGATTATGTCAGGGGAATGTTCGCCTATGAGGATTTGTAACATTGCAAGTCGATGAAAGAATCCATCGATATTCCACTGAAGTAATGTTTTGAATTCTGTTACATATTAAATAATTAGATGTTAGTATCTTTACTGACTTAGATGTGATGTGTCACTATCTGATTCCGAGACTTCATTGCCAAGATAGGCAAAGATTTTTCGTTTCAAAGTTGTACATTTTCTCTACAGGGATGGATCTTTTATATGGGGGTAGATTTTTGATAACATGTGTGTCACGGCTATCATATCTAAAGTATATTCTTGGACAACGTTGATAGGATCTGAAGAACCAGTTACATTAGTTAAAAGTAACTGAAGTTGGTCATTATTAGGTATAAAAGGAGGAGAGTGGTTAATGATAAAATCTTTGGCGGGCTCCAGTCGATGTAGATTGATATTTAGGTATATTGGTATTTTTATTTGCTTGTAGTTGTTGTTTATAGTATTTTTTTTTTTTATTTTATTTGTAAGAATATTTTTATAAGCGTTATATTGATTTTTTTAATATAACATATCCTGTGATACTTGTAATTAATGATTATTAAGTGCTTATCAAATTTTTCGCCAGTTTTTTACACTGAGGATGTAT